GCTTAGACACAGACATCCACATACACAGGTACGTGCTTAGACACAGATATCCACATACACAGGTACATGCTTAGACACAGACACACACACAGATACATGCTTAGACATAGACACACATGTTGTAGAATAATCATTTTGTACACTGAAGATGTGTCTTTTCCAAGAAACCTTCTAATTGGTTTAATAAATAGCTGAATAGTTGGACGATAGTGGCACACACCTTTAATCTCTGCACTTGGGAGGCAGAGGCAGCTACACAGAGAAACCCTATCTCAAAAAATTAAAAAGAAGGAAGGAAGGAAAGAAAGAAGGAAAGAAGAAATAGCTGAATGGCCAGTAGCTAGACAGGAGAGAACAGACAGGACTTCTGGGCAGAGAGAGGAGAAGGTGAATTCAAGTGTGGGAGAGACACAGAGAGGAAAGTAAAGGTCACGAGCCACATGGCAGCACGTCGATTAGTAGAAATGGGTTAATTTAAGTTATAAGAGCCAGTTAGAAACAAGCCTAAGCTAAGGCTGAGTTCTCTGTGTCATGATTTGGGGGCTGGCAGTCCAAGAAAGCCTTCTACATATGGTGCAACATGAAATGCCAGATGTTGTGATTCTTTTCATCATTTTGTTAAAAAATAAAACTTGGGGGTGAATATTAGGGACTAAACGAGAGATCTACGGAACAACTGAAACACTATTTCCTCCTCTCCACTTTCCACTCCTATTTCTCCCTGTGTGTCCTTCTATCTCCCTCTGAGTCTTCCAGGAAACTCTTTGGTCCATCTCAGCCAGCTGAATGTGGACTCCGCTCTCCGAACCGAGGTCGGACTCTATTGGTCGTCTCGGAGCATTCAACACAAACAGACCTCCCCCAACACACACATGCATACACAAAAGTTTTGAAAAGGTAGAGCACAATGGAGGAAGACAGCCAGCCCCAGTCTCTGACCTCTACCTACGTGTGCGCACTAGTGTCAACTCAGGACAGAGGTGTGCATAGCATGCGCTCTTGCCTGCTGAGCCGTCTCCCTAGCCCAATAGTCAGAATTCTAAGGGAAAAATTTTTGGGGGTGGGGTGGGGTTTGTTTGGAGACTGGGTTTCTCTGTGTAGCTTTGGAGTCTCCTGGAACTGTGGACCACACTGGCCTTGACCTCAAAGAGATCAGCCATTCTCTCCATCCAAATGCTGAGATTGAAGACTCCACTGCTGCCCTGCTCTAAGTGAGATATTTGAATTGAAAGATTGACACAAGAAAAACAAAGATATTTACGTTCCCCTCTGCGTCCCTTCTGTCCCTCATTTTCATGCCTAGGCTTCGTCGGTTCTCTGTCCCCAGTCCTCCATTTTACCGTTCCTGATCTTTTCTCCCTTTCTACACTGTTCATTTGTGTGAACACTAAGAATGCCTAGAAGACCGTCAGCTCTAGGAGGAGTGTGTCCTGTGTGTTTGCATGAAGTTCTCTTCCATCTGTCAGTAATGAAGTGGCAGTTCCCCAGCACTTCCTGAGGCCCCCAAACTGCACTCGTTGACCCACAATGTCTAAGAAATCCAGTTTCGCCAGGCATTGGTGGCACATGCCTTTAATCCCAGCACTCTGTGAGTTCAAGGCCAACCTGGTCTACCGAGTGAGTTCCAGGACAGGCTCCAAAACTACAGAGAAACCCTGTCTCGAAAAAAATTAAAAAAAAAAATCCAGTTCCTTTTCCTGTTCCTTGCCTTTGTGCAAGGAAAATTTGACAGTTCCTCCCTGTCCTTTTTCCTTAGTTAAAATCTTTGATTTCTGCAGCCATTTTTTCCTAAGTAGCAGAAAATAAACATGTTCTAAGAGCTCACGTCTCAGTTTGAGGATGTAGCTCAGAGGCATGACACTTGCTAGACCTGTCAAAGCTCTGGGTTCGATTGCTGGACCACCCAAATATATTTGTGTATATATATTCCTTCCTTGTTTCCTGGGCCTCTTTATATAGTTTAAATTGTTTCATATGCCTCCTTATTTATTTATTTATTTATTTATTGTTGTGTTGTTATTTTAAAGATGGTCAGACTCTCCTTTAACTATCACTATGTAGTCCAGGCTGATCTTGAACCCTTGGCAATATGCCTGCCTCAACCTCTCAAATACCAAGTGTGAGCCACCATGCCAGACTTTTTAGTTTTTTGATAGGGTTCCTCTGGGTATTTCCAACTGTCCTGAAACTTACTCTGTAGACCAGGCTGGCTTTGAACTCACAGAGATCCGTCTGCCTTTATCTCCAGGAGTGCTGGGATTAAAGGTGTGCGCCACCACCACCCAGCAATGCCAGATTTACTATTCTTCTTAATTATTGGAATTTATTCTGTCAGGATATTGTTTGAATTGTGGTCAAATAATGCACATGAGCCAGGTATGGTGATGCTTGCCTGTAATTTCAATGCTTGAGAGACTGTGTCAACACCAAATGAAGCTGAGTGGTGGTGGTGCACACCTTTAATCCTACTACTTGTGAGGCAGAGACAGGCGGATCTCTGTGAATTCAAGGCCAGCCTGATCCTCAGAGAGAGTTTAGAACATCCAAGGACTGTTACACAAAGAAGCTCTGTCTTGAAAAAACAAAAACAAAACAAACTCAATACCAGATGAATAACTAGCCCGCCCACCTGTCACATGACTGGAGACTCTGGGTTCAGTTTCTTGCAGTAGCAACGGCTGGCTAAGTGACTCCCTGACAGTGCCCTCTGTCTTGCAGGCATCGAGTTAATCGCTGCATTTTATGGCTGCCTGTACGCAGGGTGTGTACCTGTGACTGTGCGTCCCCCTCATGCTCAGAACCTCACTGCCACATTGCCCACGGTGCGCATGATCGTTGACGTAAGTTCCTTCTGTAACTGTGTCTGCCCTATTTCATAGACTCACATTCAGACAGCTAAGAACCCCTATAACTTCCTGTTCTATGGTGCCAAGTTGTCACATTTTTCTCCTAAAAACTCTCCCAGCTTGGTGTGGTGTGGTGTGTGCCTGTGGTCCCAGCTCTCAGGAGGTAGATGTACAAATGAGAGTTGTAGGCTAGCCTGGGCTATGTAGAGAGTCTGTGTCAAAACCAGACTAACAGCTGTTCCCTTTTCTCGCCAAAGTGGCGATGATCTTTCAGTGAATGGGAGAGCAATGGTTGAGGGTTGGGGTGGGGCCTGTCGGTAGAGTAGAGCAGGGCTGAGTGATTTCCCATAAAGCTCGCCCTCCTCCCTTCTCAAAACAAGGGATGATCTGGCTGACTTGTTTTTACTGTACAAGAGCTAGTGTAATTTTGCATATCAAGTCCTCCCAGTCAGGTCACTTTGGGTTAATTTTGTATATTTAGCATTAAAAGGTATGTTGGGGGAGGGGTTCCCTGGGCTCCACCCCAGCTGAGAAGTTGATTGCTGCCAGAGGAATGGAAGTTACTTTTCTTTAGGAGTGTGGCCACTGATAGGTTCCCATGTCCCAGTGGTTGATCCATGCCTGTATGCAGATGGGCAGCACTAGCTGGACTCAGTAGCTTAAAAATAAATTAGTTAGCTGGGCAGTGGTGGCGCACGTCTTTAATCCCAGCACTCAGGAGGCAGAGGCAGGTGGATCTCTATGAGATCGAGGCCAGCTACAAGAGCTAGTTGCAGGACAGTCTCCAAAGCTACAGAGAAACCCTGTCTCGGGGGAAAAATAAATAATTAATTAGAAATTATAGAAAGGGCATGAAACTGGGAGGGATATTAGATAAAGGGACTTGGAGGAGATGGTGAGGTGAACATAATCAAGACAGTGCATTTGCATGTGGAGTTTTGGGAAAAAAATGAAGATGGAACTCTTAAAAATCTGTGCAGGGCTGGGGTATAGCTCAGGGGTTGAGTGCTTATTAAGCCTTAGCAACACCAGAACAAACAAAATGCCCTGAATTTTATCCTGGGGTTGATAGAAAATTTTACAGTATATGAGAATTGAAATTGAATAAACCTCTATTATGTCATATTCTGAGACCTTTAACAGAAGGCAGCCTGGGCCAGCGCACTGACATGCGTTTGTTTCTCCAGGAGCTGCTGCTGTGTCAGCTGCTTCAGCCACAGCATAAAGCCACGCTCATCACAGATGATTTCATTACATTTTAATTCAGCAAAAATGTCCTTGTTAGCTCGTACAGAGAGGCCTGGGGAAGCGCTGGGAGTTTCTTTCTGTTGACGCACTTTGTGGGTGAAAGTAGGTCATTTTACCCTTCCCTGCATAGCTGAACAGAGCCCATTTGTGTGGGCGCTTCGGTCTGGATCCATGGCCAGATTGGTGTGCACCGTGGGTCTGGATTGCACACACCAATTCCGAGTGTGCCTACGAACTCCTCCCATTCCTTAAACACTACAGAGTCCATGTCTTTATTGGGTCTTTACGAAGATTAGGATTGTAGGGTCCTTCCTGAGAGTATGACCGTTGTAGGCAGCAGCCCCTGTTAAAAATGCCTGGGAGAATTAAGCATGACACATTTTCAGAAATAAAAAAAGGGCGGGGGGGAATGAAACACCCTGGCTGGTATGGTGAGCAAGCTACTTCTGGCAGCAGCCAGTGCTAAGCCTTCTGGTATTTACTGCTGTCCTTTTGTTTCTAGGTCAGCAAAGCAGCGTGTATTCTCACCACTCAGACTCTGATGAGGTTGCTGAAGTCTCGAGAAGCAGCAGCAGCTGTGGATGTGAAAACCTGGCCAACCATCATTGACACAGGTGAAAGGCGCTGTCCAGAGCCGCTACCATTCACTGCCAGAGGTTTCCTAGACTCACACATTTGCACAGTTTTGGTGTTATGACACCTTCATTGTCTGTTGACACAGAGCAAAGCCAGATACCCCGTGTGTACTAACAACATACTGGACACAGTAGAGACACGTCCAAGAACCAGCCCATAATATGCTAAGTGCTCTCTAAACAAAGTGTCTTGCTGGATGTGATTGCTACATCTATAATCTCAGGACTCTAGAGACTGAGGCAGGAGGATTATTAATTCAAGCCTAGGCCTTGCCACAGCATAAGACCCTGCCTCGGGGGGGGGGGAGTAAAGGCAAATGGTGTTTCGGCAATGCATTGGCATCCTTCAAAGGTGTCTGTATCTGGTTATATTTTATCGCTAGATACATGAGATGGGCTGGAGAGGTAGTTCAGTTGGTAGCTGTGGAAGAGTGAGGAGCTCCCTTTGATTTCCAGGAACCACATAAACAGCTGGGCACAGAGGTCTAGAGACAGGACCCTGGAGCTTGCTGACCAGTCAAGCCTAAGTGGGAAGCCCTAGGTCCTAGTGTGAGAGAGAGACCCTGTCTCAGAAAAACAAGGGGGTGACTCCTGAGAAATGACACCCAAGGTTGACCTCTGGCGTCCAGTGGCATATACACACACACACACCCCTAACATGTAAATACACACACACACACACTATCAAGACAGTCTGACCCTTGACTTATAGATGTGTTGTAATTTAAACAAGAGACTAGAAGTTAGAAGACCTGGGCTCTATCTTGAGCTTTATTAATTGCTATGTAACCCCATTCTAAAATACTGTTGCTGTACCCCAGAATATCAAATTAGCTAATGTGATATGATATGAAAACCAGAATGTTAGCCAAGCTTTGGTGGCACACGCCTTTAACCCCAGCACTTGGGAGGCAGTGGCAGGCTGATCTCTGTGAGTTCAAGGTCAGCCTGGTCTTCAAGAACTACTTCCAGGACAACCAGGACACAGAAACCCTGTCCTGGTTGGGGGAGGGAGGCTCGACGGGACTTTATTTAATTGGGTAGTGGGAGCAAATGCCTTTAATCCAAGCACTTGGGAGGCAGAGGCAGGAGGATTTCTGTGAGTTTGAGGCCAGCAAGTGAGTTCCAGGACAGCCAGGGCTGTTATACAGAGAAACTCTGTCTTGAGAAATGAGGAAAAAAAGATTGTACATGAATTTTAGATGATATTCAATCAGATTCAGATATGGGAATAGCTGGAGGACTGGTGGAACAGGAAGAGTGGGGGTTCTGCACTTAGACAGGACTTAAATACTCCTGCTGCTCTTGAGAATCCTCTCCAGGTTGGACAAAAATATAAAATGAGGCACGTAGAGCTTGGTATATGTACAGCTGTAGTGTGGGGCCATAGTGGTAACACATAACCAGAGATAGCCACCCAGTGACATGGAGATTTAAAATTCTCGATTGTTTCATAATCCAGAAACCAAAGGACCGCCAAGGGGCATAGTTGAGCTAGAGACATCTTGATATTCTTGGTTTTGACTTGAAAATCTGGGATAAAGGCAAGCTATCCTACCATATCTAGTTTTCTGGAGTCCCTGAAGTGAGCCCTGCTTGGGGCTCTGTGCATGTCAGGCAATTGTTCTTTGTCCCCAGCACAGGAAGGGGTGTTTTAAATGAGTGGAAGAACTCCAAATTCTAGAGGAGGGAGCTGTCTAACTTCTTAAGTAGCTGTGGTAAATATTATGCAGAAGCAGCTTAAGGAATGAAAGGGTGGTTCTGCTCACAGCTCAAGGTGCAGTGTGTCGCGGTGGGGAGTCCAGGCAGCAGGGGCTTGGAGCAGCAGCTGGTCACGGCGACTATGCAATCAGGAGGAAGAGAGCAACGAATGATCGCCTGTGGCTAGCCTTTTCCTTTTTATGTGGTTCATGAACCAAACTCACATACGGTGCCATTGCCCAATAGGCACCATATCTGAGCTCAGTTACCCTAATCAAGATTATCCTATACCCAGCAGTGGTTGCCACACACACCTTTAGTCACAGTACTTGGGATGCAGAGACTGGCAGATTTCTGTGAGTTCGAGGCCAAGGCTAACCTGATACAAATAATGCCCCCACGTATGTGCCTAGAGGCTGTCTCAGGTGATTCCAGATCCTGTCAGGTTAACAGTCAACACTATTACACCATGCATGATTAATGTGACACACTAATCTGTAAGTGATATGCTTTAATGGGAAAAAGCATAACAATAATTAATGCATCTTGAGTATATACATAGTTGTTATTTTAAAAGTGCTTCCTGTGGGAGTTAGATGGCTCAGAGATTAGAGCACTGCTGCTCTTGCAGAGGTCCCAGGTTCAGTTCCCAGCTGACATGGCAGCTCACAGCCACCTGTTCCAGTGAGATCCTTGTCTCTTCCGACTTCTTCAAGAGGCTCCTACATGCATACGTTACTCCTACATGCACTTAGGCTCACACACATACACATAAAATAAATAAACATATAAAATTTTAAGGCTGGGGGGCTGGAGAGATGGCTCAGAGGTTAAGAGCATTGCCTGCTCTTCCAAAGGTCCTGAGTTCACTTCCCAACAACCACATGGTGGCTCACAACCATCTGTAATGGGGTCTGGTGCCCTCTTCTGGCCTGCAGCATACACACAGACAGAATAATGTATACATAATAAATAAATAAATATTAAAAAAAATTTAAGGCTGGAGAGATGGCTCAGTGGTTAAAAGCACTGACTGTTCTTTCTGAGTTCAGTTCCCAGCAACCACTTGGTAGCTCACAAGTGTCTGTAATGAGGTCTGGTGCCCCTCTTCTGGCCTGCAGGAATACACGCAGGCAGAACACTGTATACATAATAAATAAACAAATCTTTAAAAAAAATTTTACGTGGTTCATGTGAGTTAAATTCCCAGTAACCAGTGAAGGTAGGTATTTGGAGATCTGTTTTAAAGAAAAGGAAAAAGAGATGTCAAGTAACCCCAGGGACACAGAGCTGGTGACATAGTTGACCTCTGGGATTGAACACCAGCACTCCGTCTTTTCCAAGATGTTACCATCGAGACATCTACAAATGAATTTGTTGGCTGTGGCATTGCAGGTAACCTTTACCTAGTGGCATCACGGCCCCTGCTTGCAGTTGAGGTTGACAACGGTGAGCTGCTGGGTTAGACACAAGAAGTTCAGACCTCCACACATCTTAGAAGCAGTTAAAGAGCAGTGGTTCCTGTGTTCCAGCACGTCTGCTCTACATCAGCTTTCTTCTTTGCATTGCAGATGACTTACCCAGGAAACGGTTACCTCAGCTGTATAAACCACCCACTCCTGAGATGTTGGCATATCTTGATTTTAGTGTCTCCACAACTGGCATGCTTACAGGAGTAAAGGTAAAGTGATCTCACTCTGCTGGTGAGATGCCAGGCCACAGTGAGCAGACCTTTCCCGTGGAGGTCAGCCGGCTGCACCAGAGGGCAGTGGGTCAGGTGTCATGGCTATATTTAAATCCAAGCACTGGCTATTCCGAAGAAAGTTATCTCAAAGGATTTGCACTGTGAAGTGCTGTGGCGGAGTACACACGCTACAGATAGTAAGAGCTCTAGGTAAAGTCTGTGTGCAGCCATCGGTTCAGGTCCTGTGAGGCTGTGTCAGCTGCAGAGTAGAAACCCATCTTCTTAGTTTGTACTTAGACTAGGCTATGAAGCAGTGGAATCCATACGCCACATGGAAAGTTTGGGGCTAAAGCTGGTCAGGGCGGTTCCTGTGCCTATGGGGTGCCAGCTGCATCCCGTGTGTGTCCCTTGCTTTGCAGATGTCCCACTCCGCTGTCAATGCTCTCTGTAGAGCCATCAAACTCCAGTGTGAGCTGTACTCCTCTCGGCAGATCGCCATCTGTCTTGACCCGTACTGTGGACTTGGCTTTGCACTCTGGTGTCTCTGCAGGTAGGATGGAGAAGCCTGTCCATGGTTTGGGGCTGTGGCCATCTCCTCCTCCCTTTTGTTTCCTTGGGTTAGTTAACTTTAGTAAAATGCTGCTGTTTCTGAAATATGAGCACCTTTTGTATTTCTGATGTTTGTTTAGTTTTATGTGATTGCTTTCTTTAATTCTCCTTGCCTAGTTTTCTGCCTCCTATAACAAGGCACTGTTCTATCACCTGCTTTCTGTCCCATCCTGTGATCCTAGTTGTAGAAGCCATGCCAAATAGAAGCATGATTTTCAGGTGACATTTGACAGACATTTCAGTCTGACATTTGACAGCAGGATGTGCCCTAGGCTGGGCAGGAGGGCATGGTGGGATGCAGTGAC